GCAATTCAATTAATTAAAGATAAGAGAATATCGGTAAAAGATGCAGTTACACAATATTCTATCCCGGGACGAACGCTGTACAATCACATGAATGGTCAACACACGAGAAAAGTAGGGCGTGAACCGATTCTGTCTTGTGAAGAAGAATCACATCTTGTTGATATTATCAAACGTTTGCAAGAATATAATCATCCAGTCTCTAACGGTGATGTTATACAGCTAGGAAGATTATACCTGCTGGAATTAAAGAAAAATATTCCAGAAAGTTGTCCAACCAAAGATTGGTTTTACAGTTTCATGAAAAGATGGTCAGATGAACTTAAGATGATGAAAAGTGTTAAATTAGAAAAATGTAGAAGCGACGCATTACCGATCGAAATACTGGACAGTTGGTTTAATAAATTATATGTTTTACTGACAAAATTACAGCTGTTCGATAAGCCTGCGTGCATATTTAACTGCGATGAGAGCAGTTTCTGTGAAGATCCTGGGACAAAATCCGTTGTTGTAAAACGAGACACTCGATATCCAAATGCTATTCATGGAGGCTCAGGTAAAGAACAAACAACTGTTTTATTATATATATCAGCTCGTGGAAGGTAAAACAGAGCTTGAATATGTGTTAAATAATTATATTACCGCTTTCGCTCTTTTAATCGCTCTCTATTGTGTATAAATACCTTCTAATAGTACGTGCATCACGTCAATCGTTGTTTGTTTAAAAACATCAAAACCATTGATGGCAGTAAATGGTGATTCCGATATAATACCGAAGTTCTTTTGTAATATTGCTTTTCTTCGGCCATCGGCTTTGCTGATTTGGTCACATTGTTTTAAATATTGTTCCATCTGACGAATTTTGCAAATATTTGGTCTTGATATACGTCGTAATCCATCTCGACCTAACATACACATGAAATACGGCTTCACTCCGACTTTGAAGCCGGATTTAAAACCATGCAACTGAGTAAGACCTAAAAACCTAACTATTAACTTACACCATTTGCAAATTTTGTAGAAAGATGAATGTTTACCTAACACGTCTCCAGAGACTATAAACAAAGATCCATGAAAAGTCTGTAGCTTATTAGCGACCATGATCGTTATGCCACTCGATTGTAATTGTTTGATCGAATCGAAGAAATCCGATAAAACTCCTTTGAATCCATGTTTTTTGGCGTACTTCTTCTCGACACTGGCAAGGAGCATCATACATCGATCTTGACTTCTGACGTAACTAAAATCGGAGCAAAATTGTGCAGTTCAACTGTATGACAAATCTTCGAAGTGTTCTCACCGAGGTAAATTTGCTAAAGACCAGTAGAACATACATACTGATCGGTCTCTTGTTCCCAATGGGTTTGTGATACCAATGTCATCATAATATAAAATTACTTTTATACTTTTTGGATCCCGAAAATGTGGATGGTCTTGACAAAAGTGGCCAGACGTTAAATCTGTAAGTATCGTCGGATTGAATTGTGAACTGCTGGTCAAACAGTCATGGATTTCCGGCATCGCTATTAATTCTTTTAATGATTCGATGAATGGTATACAGAATGCTTTTTCAAAATGACGAATATGCTTTTGTTTTCTGGGACTAAAATCAAACTAAAGAGGTAGAGAAAGTATGAAGAAATTTATGTATGAAATTAAGAATGAGATTACTTCTAGAATGTAAACATACTGTACTATTTAAGATTTTTGCTCTTGGTTTGATTATTTTCATTTGTCGATCCAGAAATTTTTCACGTTCGTACGATGTTTCGATTAGGGGTGGCGCTTTACCGTTTCTTTACAGGTAACGCAGTAACGCATGCGTTATTGCGTTTAAGTAACCGCAGTAACGCTTATGATACAAGCCAAGCTAATAAATACTTATATGTTTCTTGCTGATATAACTATTGTTGGCACGATTGAGTTTCTGATTTCAGTTAAGCTTACCTCGACAAATACAGCGAGTAAAATTGCTTTTATGTACGGTTTTTGTTTGTGTTAATATTCTTACCCCTTCAGTTCCATGCGACTGTGTGGCTGCTATGGTATTACTGTGAACATCTGGTTATAATGTAAGGTGTTCTGCACTCTCTGGATACCCCTAGTTGTTCTACAACGCACCTCTCTCTCCGAAGGCCGTTCAATACTCCATGGTATTGAAGAGTCGGCGAATACTGGAACTTTTGAGCAAAGATTTGTAGACATGCATTTGAACTAACATCGTTATTGGCATTGACATCAATGCTGAAGTATTAGTCAGATTTTTCTTTTATTGAACGTTGTCACTAATTGCCGTAACGGCATGATACACTCTCGTTTTATGCATTTTATGTTCTTACGTGCGTTGTTGTTCTTTCGTCATTCCAGCAAGAAAACAGCGTTAATATCATTAAAAGTGAAAACAAGAACTAGCGATGATAATAAAATGTTCCTGATGATTCATGTCAGTGCTACCTAATTCTGAACGGATGTCGACATTCAGCATCCACTATTCGAAAAAACACTCAATATGAAATAGATCAATTCTTGTTTCGGGTGCTTTTAAGACCTGAATGTTCCAGGTCTCAATGGCACAACCTTTTGAAAAAGTGAATGGCAAAAAGGAAAACATGTTTTAGCAGTCAACTTTGCTAAAACTCGTCATCGCAATAACTACATTAATCATTCGAAACTTAAAAGCACTATCCTGCTTTTTCTTTTTTTACCATTGTCATAAATTCTAGAGGCTGAGTAAGAAAACTTTCTGAGAATAACAACTTGTCATATAACAGTGGTTAATTAGAGGGATCACAATACAGTCATTTGAACTGTCTTAACTATGGTATATTTTTCATGAGATGAGGTAAACATTTCCTTATTCTTCAAGGCAATGGTATTTAAAATTGTTTTAGAGTTTTTGAAAAACTGGTTTTCTAGAAAACCAGGTCTTCGAAGGACTATGGGGAAGCCCTATGGTCGTATTCGTAATCAACATGGTCGAAAATCTATAACCCACTAGATTCCGAGCAAAAAGCGTTTAATCACTTCGAGGTGTTCCCTCGTAAGTCAAAACAAGAGAGTGCTGAGAGAGTTACAGCGCATAAAGCTATTTGGACTAAGGGTTGATTTTCCCTCATGCATTGCGTTACTTTTACGCAGTAACGCAAGCGTTATTGCGTTACTTGTTACCAGTAACGGAGTAACACATCTAATACATCTTTTACACATACATTGACACATGTCTCTAAAACTGATATGAAACATTCATTTCAATGTATATAAGTGACCACCATAGTGACATACCACTCGCATTATTGCACTTCATGTTCATTATCCATTTTGTAATATTAATTCGCAACCAATGTTCTGGATTATCGTTCCTTGATATGTCTTCATGCTTTAAATTATTTATTTGTTGTTTTTATTTGCTGTTTTCCCTGCACCATCTGTTGCAGATGCATAACAAATAAAAACAACAAATAAATGATTTAAAGCATGAAGACATATCAAGGAACGATAATCCAGAACATTGGTTGCGAATTAATATTACAAAATGGATAATGAACATGAAGTGCAATAATTTGAGTGGTATGTCACTGTGGTGGTCACTTATGTAAAAAAAAGGACAAAAAAGACCATCTTATAAAAAATATTTAAAACAAAATCAACAATTTTAACATAGAAAACAATGTCTGTTGTGCTGCTGATGCGGGTGATATTTGTAAATTTCTTCTTTGGGCTGTTTATCCAAATAACTTTACGAATAATAAAAATAGATGAGAAAATCTGAAATGAACAATAGTTTTAAGCATCGAGATATAAAAGGTAACTGTTAAGATTGCATCAGCCAAAGATCGTAATTCACTATAGCAAAAAAATGTCAAGTTATTGCCCTGTGAAGAATTATATTTCGCAGCAGAGGATCTGTCTAAAGTTCAAAATAAAGAGCGAGAAATTCTTGATCGAAAAATTTGATATACAGTTTAAATGAAGGAAAAAGTGTGATAACACGGAAAAAAATTATGAAGGGAAGCACGTTTCTGTATGCACTACTCTAAAAGATTTATTGCCTAAAAAAATTATTTATATATGGTGTTTATAGATCGAATACGGATACCTCATTGTAAAAAAATTGGTAGTCTTTGAAGAATTAAAATTTACGCTAGGACTAAATTCAGCGCTAACTTTTAGTTTCAGCGTACCCTAATCTCATAAGCATTAAAGATCACTACAAACAACTATACACGAAAAACGTGTGACTCTGCTACCGAAAACTCCGTGCGTTACCGGTTTTTCTCTTTTCGTCGATCCTATAATTTTCGGAAAGAATATCGTAGAATCCTGGAAAGCGTCTTGTTTTGTACAATGAAGTGCGTTCTTCAAAATCCACTACTAGCTCAATTCGAAATAATTGACGACTTTTCGGTTACAATCGAAATACTAAAAGCCCTAAAAACAAACGACAATGTTTTTGGGTATTTTAAGTACAGCATAAAAAGCGTCAATTATTTTTGAACTGAGCTCCTGGTGAATTTTGGAGAACGCACTTCATTGTACAAAACAAGACGCTTTCCAGGATTCTACGATATTCTTTCCGAAAATTATAGGATAGACGAAAAGAGAAAAAACGGTAACGCACAGAGATTCCGGTAGCAGAGTTACGCGTTTTTCATGTATATAGTTCGAGCATAGCTTCTCACAGCCAAGTTAGAAGAAAAGCCAATCATCATAACACGCACGCAGAAATTCTGCGTGCGTGTTATGATGGTTGGCTCTTTTGAACTCTGAAACTGAAACTTAATATCGCCGTTGTAAGGTGCCGAAATTCAGACAGTGTTCTGTAAATAAATTCAAACGGGAAAGTTATAAATTTAATTTAAAATTTCTGTTCCCCAAATGCTAGAACCGAAGAGTGCAGTCAACCAATAGCGAGCAGCACATTAAAAATAGACTGTAAACTGATGAGTCATCGGGTCATCATCATCGGCTATTACTAACTGTTCTAATCGTATTGAACAGTAAGAGAAAGTAATCCGCAGTCCTAGGTACCTTAAAATGGTAGAAGAATAAAGCTACCAATACATTTATAGCTTGTTTTATTCAAGTTTATGTTTAAAAAACCATTGGGAGAGTAAAACGGTAAATGAAAACATTGCTGAACTGATTTTTTCATGTTCTTACAGCAGAAGATATTTGTGAATATGCGAAAAAGTTATCTCCTTGTTTTTACTAGATACTTAATTTTAACACACTTTACGAGTACGTAACTATCAGAAGGCTTTAATCGATAAGTGAAAATTTTACTTACTACCTTCTGTTTTACATCGTCGCTAGCGCCATCATATTTTGACATGTCGATTTTTCTGCTAGTCATTTCAGATAAGATATATTGCAAAAGATATGAAATTGTAAAATATACGAAATGTTACGAAAATTAAAGTTAAATATACGAAATATCGATATATACGATTGTAAGAGATATGAAATGATAAGATTCTAAGACGAAAAATGTGTTAGCACATATTTTTAGTATTATACATATTCTTATTCAGTCCCCCTAGACGGCGATTCTTATATAAGCATCAGTTAAGAATCTTATAAGAATCTGATAAGAGGTCTTATGAACTTCTTATCACTTTCTTATGGAATTCTTGTTTTGTAAAGCGATCTGGAAAATGCTCAAGAAGTTAAACTACATTAGTAGTGCATCTGAATTGTGCCAAAAACTTTGAAAAAAATCGCAGGATCCATCCAGGGCCTACGGCATACCATGACGTGCTCTTATCTACTGAGCTATTACGGACTGTGATAATAAACATCATCTCGCTATTACATCTGATTAACCAGTTTTAGATTTTTGAATTCTTTTCTGAGTATATCTACAACTAAACACAGAGCACTCTAGAGAGCTTAACGACTTCAAAGTCACTATGAAACATAAATGTCCCATAGTCAAACATTGAGTTTCTTATTGTTTCGCTAATTAAAACGGATAATTAAAACGGGGGGGGGGGGGGGGGGGGGGGGGGGGGGGGGGGGGGGGGGGGGGGGGGGGGGGGGGGGGGGGGGGGGGGGGGGGGGGGGGGGGGGGNAACCCTAAATAAAACCCCCCCCCCCCCCCCCTGGTTTTTGGTGGTCACCACCCCGCTTCAACACAAACGTTTTTTGGTTGAAAGAACAATAAATTTTTTGGGCATGACCACCCTCCTGCTCTGAGATGCTAGCTACGCCCCTGAGAATTTCATAGGAATCAGGTAAGATTTTTATCAGAATTGCAGAACCATAGCACATTATCTTCGTCTTTTTAATATCGCATATAGAAATCTGAATGTGAATATAAGGGTAGATTCAGAAAGGAAACAGGACAAGCAATTCTCTTCGCTTCTCTTTCCATTCGTTTGATGAAAATGTTTTCTCTTTTCTTTCTGCGCACGTTCTTCTTAATTCTGGTGAAAGTTTGACAAGTATCGATGCATTATACTGTTTAAAACAAAAGCAAAGGAAGTTGAATGTGAGAAGAAGAAGAAGAAACTAGCGAATAAACCAGTGGCGAAACATAAAAAAACAAAACAAACAGATAATATAACTTTAACAGATCGAGGATTATGTGTTGCACCGGCATTAATATCATCTTCTTCGATCATCCTTAGTCCACAAGCGCAACCATTTATCCCAGGCTATTATGCAGAACAGCCCTCAACGAATACAAATATGTGGCCAACTAGTCTACCACATTCACATACATTAGAATCATCACTAGATCAACCAAGCCAGAATCATACTTATGTTGATCTGTCTTCATCTCACTACGGACAACAAATAGCTATGCTCTGCTGTATATGTTCGTCACCGATATGCCATCATTAACGACTTACTGGAATTGTGCAAGGTGCGCAAATGTTATTTGTTTTTATTGTACTCAAACGACGTTACATCAATCATCTGTAAATTTTCTTTGTGAGTTTTGTGAACTAGCCTGACGTGTCATTCAACCTCTATACTGAACATTGAGAAATGTGATTTATTGGTATTGTCTGGTTACTAAAATAGTATAATTTACTTTCTATTATGATATATTAGGCTTGAAAAATAGTTTTGTCTTTAATGTTCTTGAACTTATCATTGGCTTTTCACTTTACAAATGATTTAGACCCCATCTAAAGCTCAGGGGACTTCTATAAACAAACACATTGTCCAGTTTTGTTCATATACGGCTGGGAGAATAGGGTTTCAAGATTGACCAGTTTCCTCCAGCCATTCAACGGGAATTGCTGAAGGAATAAATGTGGCTCTAAATTTCGCATTTCAGTTGGCGAAGCGTCGAGACGCTGTTCTTGTTCTCTTTGAGATAGAGTATGATTTGAGTAAGTTAAATCATTATGACATTGTGTGTGCTGATGTCGCTAAGTTTAGCGATTATCCAGAAGAGCAGGAAGTCCTGTTTGATCTTGTTGGCAATGTTTATTCCTGCAAAAATTACTGAAATTGCTTGCTACGTGATTCTTGAATTACCCCAGATGGGACAATTCAAGAATTGAGTTATTTGACCGATGTCTGTTATTTTGAGAGAATCTCAGTGAATTTTGGTCGGATAACTTGGAGTTTGATACCAGTGTGTTTTTGAAAGTAAGAGGAATTCAATGATATAAAAATCTTGTTAACAATATCTAATTATTCCTGAGATAATTAGCTTTTATAAAAAACAAAAAACATCGTTCACTTTTAACGAGACTGCTGAATTGCCCCAGCGAGAATTATGTATTTCCTTGAATAGCCCCCAGTGGGGCAATTCAAGAAAGTCCGTGAGGTAATCCAGTAATCCACTTTTAAGATCGTTATCCTGAGAGTGTTGAAGACGATTTTTCACAGACAGGTAGCTAAGAGTCCTTCTTATATTGTAGCAAAAGTGCGCAGGAAAATCCCCAAAAATAACAAAGATATTCAAAAAACACTTACAAGGATACCAAAAAGTTACTCAATTACCCACATTACTCTACGTTTGTTGTAGAAAACGGAAAACTTTCCCGAAGCAGAGAGCAACGCGCTCCATTCACGCTACTGATTTTCATCGATGTTTGCAGAGTAGACGTTTCTCTTCGAAGTAATATGCAGCTTAACTCTATGTTACGCAAGTTTCACGTTAAGCTGTCTAGATCGCTCAAAGTAAGTCTGAACTTCATATCAATCAATGAACGTGAGAGAAATGTACCTTACAAAGATTCACTTTGAGTTGATCTCTTCCGTCAATCCCAGTCATGATGACGGCTTTTTCGACAAAATAAAAGAAACGACGACCGACAGTGAAGTGAAGAGTAAGTATTATTCGCATATTCTCTTTTTGTTTGTCTTCGAAAAACAAAACATAACAGTATGTTGTTTAATCTCATGAAAGCAAAACACTTTTCAATATCATTCTCTTATCAACTAGAACAAATACACTCTCGCCATCACTTCTATTTTCATTACCATTCTTCACAACGAAAACAGTGTTATTATTCTTCCAGTGACTTATTTCGTTCACAACAAACTATACAAATGGCGCACAGAAAGAACAGTTTTACGTCAGCTGAATAAATGCCTGCAAACTGAAAGTATGTGCGCTTCTTCAGTATAACATTGTTTTTAATTCAAATAAAACAAGAGAGCAGAGACTAACCGTCATCAACACTACAATACCGCACTCATCTCACTTCTTCTACCGTTCACTTTTAGAACACCGCAACGACAACACATGAACTCTAAGACTAAAGCGATAGTTTCATCCTCGTCCTCCATTTCTCACAAGTACTGTTTGGGCAACGAAAAGCATGACACAAAATCATTATCTCCGACATCTCCTCTATCAGCAGTAACAAAAATATCTAAAACATTACCAGCTTCTTCAAGTTCGGTTTCGACAAAAACCGATGAAAATGCACAATCCACATCGGAAGCAAATTCTTCTTCACTTCAACCATCGACGATTGCCACTAGTAATAGAACACCAAATGATGAAAACAAAGAGAGTGTAACATTGATCTGGCTTGATCCAAACATTCGCTCAGACGATGACACACAACGCACTGTGGCAATGCTGAGAGAAATCAACGACTTCGTTGTTTTCCACACACACTTAGACTCATGCACTGACCACGTCAAAAATGTTCAAAACGAAAGAATATTTCTTGTCACATCGGGCAAATGTGCCATCGATCTTTTGTCTCGTGTCGGGACTCAATCTCAGATCGACTCCATATTTATCTTTTGTCTCAATCCAAACAAGTACAAACATCTCCAAAATGAGTACTCGAAAATAATCGGAATATTCGATGAACGTGAAGAACTCGTCAAGTCGATCAAAAACAACATCGATCTAGTTGAGAAACAAATCCAATCATTCAGCTTTTATAATCAACAAAAATCGACTCGTGATTTAAGTAGTGAATCCGCATCTTTTCTGTGGTTTCAACTATTCAAAGATTTAATCATTAAAATGCCTCCTGATAATCATGGGAAACGACAGATGATTCAAAAGTGTCAGGAGTATTATCGTGGGAACAGACAAGAAGTGGCAACCATCCAAGAATTCAGTGACACTTATCGAAGAGCTGATGCTATTCGATGGTATACACGACAGTCGTTTGTTTATAAACTCATCAACAAAGCTCTACGTACAGAAGACGTCGAACAACTGCGCATATTTCGCTTTTTCATTGCCGATCTGTGCTCAAGTCTTGCACAAGAGTATAAGAAGATGAGAGAGCGCGAGAAGGGTGTGCTTCGAGTCTATCGCGGTGTGAAACTGTCGAATGAAGAAGTTAAAAAGCTGAAAGAGAATGAAGGTAAACTCATTTCCATGAATGGCTTTCTGTCAACAAGTCGTTTGCCATCAGTGGCTTTAAATTTCGCATTTCAGTTGGCGAAGCGTCGAGACGCTGTTCTTGTTCTCTTTGAGATAGAGTATGATTTGAGTAAGTTAAATCATTATGACATTGTGTGTGCTGACGTCGCTAAGTTTAGCGATCATCCAAAAGAGCAGGAAGTCCTGTTTGATCTGGGTGCAACTTTCAAAATTCAGTCAGTTAATCGTGTAAAGTCGAATGTCAGTCATGTAAACCTAAGAGTAACAAGCGAAGGAGCAGATATAGCACGAGAATATATCAAGTTGAACAGAAAAGAGCTCGAGGAAAGAAGCGTTGCGGTCATCTTTGGTTCACTTCTTTGTGATATGGGACAGTATGACAAATCAATGAAGTACTTTGAGAATCTATTTCAAAATCATGAAGGTGAAAATATAAGTGACATTATGTTTAACCTTGGTCGTACCCACCACTTCAGAGGCGAATACGGCAAAGCACTGCAGCTGTATGAGCATAGCTACGCAACAATGATGATGAGCAAGCCAGTGCCTGAGAAAGTAACAGCTCGAGTACTCAATAATATTGGCAATGTTTATTCCTGCAAACGCGAGTATGATCGTGCTTTGGACTATTATTCGAAATGTCTCAAGATGAGAGAAAAATGTTTGCCATCTGATCATCCACATATTGCTGATACTCATAATAATACTGGCAGTGTTTATAACAGCAAACGCGAGTATGATCGTGCTTTGGACTATTATTCAAAATGTCTCAAGATGAGAGAAAAATGTTTGCCACCTAATCATTCACATATTGCTACTAGTCTGAATAATATTGGCCTGGTTTATGACAACAAAGGTGAGTATGATCGTGCTTTGGACTATTATTCAAAATGTCTCAAGATGAGAGAAAAATGTTTGCCATCTGATCATCCAGATATTGCTAGTAGTCTGAATAATATTGGCCTGGTTTATAACAGCAAACGCGAGTATGATCGTGCTTTGGACTATTATTCAAAATGTCTCAAGATTCAAAAAAAATGTTTCCCATCTGATCATCCAGATATTGCTAGTAGTATGAATAATATTGGCCTGGTTTATGACAACAAAGGCGAGTTTGATCGTCCTTTGGATTATTATTCAAAATGTCTCAAGATGAGAGAAAAATGTTTGCCATCTGATCATCCAGATATTGCTCGTATTCTGAATAATATTGGTAACGTTTATTACAAGAGAAGCGACTTTAAGCGTGCGGTTGAATGTTTTGAAAGATGCTTGAAGATTCGTAAAAAGCTGCTCCCAACAGGTCATCCTGAGCGTGTCAGTGTTAAGAAGAAGCTCTCCGAAGTGAAGAAGTTCGTATAAAGGACATTTGTTCTTGGCAAATGGTTGTGCATACATGTGTTGAGCACTTGCTTAGTTGTTTATGTGTGAGTTTTTTTTTGAATTGCACAATTAAACGCAGTTTGAGACTTGTAACTTCAAGCTTCGCTTTTTTCCTGAGGTCATTTGTGTATAATAAGTTTCCTGCTTGTCTTACCAAGTAGTTTGTACTCGACTATTTGTTTTCTAATGTTCGCTGCGAGTTTGGAGTCGCACGAATTTTAACTGAATTACTCTCAATCCATGTTATTTAACAATGTTGATTCCAGCATAGGCGAGTATGATCGTGCTTTGGACTATTATTCAAAATGTCTCAAGATTCAAGAAAATGTTTGTCATCTGATCAGCCAGATATTGCTAGTAGTCTCCTTAGTGTTGGCAATATTTAAACGAGAAAAAGCGAGTATGATCGTGCTTTGGACTGTTATTCAAAACGTTTATTACAGCGTTTATTTATTTCAAAATCATGAAGGTCAAAATATAAGTGACATTCAGTGTCATCCTGAGCGTATCAGTGTTAAGAAGAAGCTCTCCGAAGTGACAGACAGTAAAGGCGAGTATGATCGTGCTTTGGACTATTATTCAACTTGTCTCAAGATGAGAGGAAAGTGTTTGCCATCTGATCGTCCAGATGTCGCTCGTATTCTGAATAATATTGGCAACGTTTTTTACAAGAGAAGCGACTATAAGCCTGCGGTAGAGTGGATCAGAGAAAAATGTTTGCCGTCTGATCATCCACATATTGCTACTAGTCTGAATAATATCGGCCGTGTTGACTACAGCATACGCGAGTATGATCGTACGGTGTAGTGTTTTAAAAGCTGCTTTAAGATTCGTAAAAAGCTGCTCCCATCAGATCATCCTGAGCGTTGTAAAATATTGTGAACGGGCCAAGTTGTCGATGATATCGTCAATTCGTGGCAGTGGGTAAACGTCGCGTTCGGTAATCAAATTTAGTTTTCTGTAATGCACACACAAACGCGGACTTGCATCTTTTTTCCGGATGATGACAACTGGTGAGGACCATGGACTTGCACTTGGACGAATGATATGATTATCCAACATTTCCTTGACTTGTTCATTAATGATTTGTGTTTCTTTGGCAGCTTTGCAATATGGATAGGAGTGAATCGGTTGATGATGTGGACGAATTGGAATGCGATGACTGACGTTGCTGGTTTTTATAATTGACGATTTTGATGTATCAAATACTGATTTGTGCTGATCAATATTGATAGTATTTGTCCTTGTTGTTGCAGTGGAAAATGTAATGTTAAAGCGTGAATCGTACTATTGATGGACGAATAAGATTTTGACTTTGATGTAATTCGATTGGATGTCGTCGAGGACGTGTTCTGATGTTGTTGTGTGCTAAATGAATCATGATGAACATAACAGCATTTGTTGTCTTCGTGATATTTAATTTGTCCTAATGTCGCACCTTGTGGAATCGTTTTAATGGATGTAGTTGTATTCAATAGTGTTAATGTTGTAGTTCTGGCATTGTCAATTGTCAATATACCATGGGGTGCAATAACATGTTGTTTATTTGTTGTTCTAGACGATGGGGTGACTATAACCGATCCTGGGTGATGACGATGGTGCCGCTTCGATGACTTTCGACGCTAATGGGGGTATTACGATGTCATTCATGGTCTTAATATGAAGCACTTGTTGTTCAGATTCGGTTCACGCCCTACTTTTCTCGTGTGTTGACCATTCATGTGATTGTACAGCGTTCGTCCCGGGATAGAATATTGTGTAACTGCATCTTTTACCGATATTCTCTTATCTTTAATTAATTGAATTGC